TCCGAAGTCCGGACAGTCCTAACCCAGGCACGCAGGAAATAAACGTTCCTGGTGCTGACTAATACTTCACCTTATACCAAAGTGGCCCACATGACTCCTCCGGCAGATATCTTGAGGCAATTGCGCTCTCGCAACAAGCGAGCCGTGCACTGGGAACCAGTCAGTGAACGCACGGCTTCTCTGCGCTTGAAGGACCACTTCACAAACATATCTGTCTTCGCACTATATGCACCAACTTCCACTGTTGACTAGCGCGATAAAGAGATGTTTTACCCACAGCTGAAATGTTTCGTTGAAGGGCGCCCTCTCCGCGATGTGCTTATTGATGCCGAGGGCCGGAATGGCAGGACTGGTGACTCCACAAACAACCATCTAACCGGCCACGCTGGGTTTGGTTCTCGATGTGGGAATGGTGAAAGATTGCTGAACTTTGCTGAACGGAACCGACTGTTTGTTGCAAACACGTGCTTCTAGCACCGCAAAAAACACTTGCTCACCGGGTACTCCAACGACGTCCATACGGCCAGCCAGACTGACTACATTTTTGCCAGCAGGCATGATTCCGCGGCCGGGCTCATGATAGTCGGTCGCCCCGTTGTGCTCTGGTTGGTGATGCCCATGGATGTGGCCACTTTCTTGTTTGGCCACGCTCCAAAGCCTAAAATGCCCAAAACGCCACACGCTAGACGCCTCGATTTCACAAACTTTCGGCAACCCAAAACTCCTGAGGCCTTGAGCAGAGAAATCGGGTCCGGTTTCGCGACCCGAGTCGAAGGAGAAGTGGGTAGCCCTCAGTCCTTACTGAAAACGTCAGTCTATGAGGCAGCCGATAAAATTCTTGGATGCACACAGCGGCACTACAATGACTGGATCAGCGGACGAATCCTGCAGTTTTCTGCGAAGACAGCCCGAGCTAGGGACCGTAATGATAATCCTTCCGCCATATAAGTAAGATGGTTGCAAAATCAGCCAGAGAGGACTGGAAGAAATACTGGGCTGAAATAAAAACCTCCGTGAAGCAGGCCTCGAAGGTTGACGATACTCGAAAACTCTACCAACTTATTCGACAGGCTACAGGTAAGCGTTATTCACTGAGTGACTCAGTTAATGTGAATGCTGGCCTTATTTCTGACAACGCGACCAAGGTCGAGCCCTGGCGTGAGCACTTCGAGCAC